GAGGAGGGGGAGAGTGCCCGTGGGCCTTGGGCGGGTGCTGGGTGCCCACCTTGACAGTCGGTACTGGGGATAGCGGCGAAGTGGTAGCTGGGCCCCATCCCTCCCCCCAGAGCAGGACAACTGCACCTCCTGTGCGGCAGCGCATTCCTGTACAGCAGCCACGGACAGCCACAGGGACAGTTGGATCTCCTTGGTACACCCTGGAAAGGGGCAGTGCACACAGGTGCCTGACTGCGGCCCAGCCTGCCGTCCTCCTCCTGTCACAAACTCAGACTCCCAGGAGGATTCTCAGAGTGCCTCGGGCTGCCTGCTCAGCCTTCTCAGGTACAGAGGTGGCACCGAGCCCAGGTCCTTGTCCCGCAGCCCTGCTGGGCAGAAGCTCCTCCCACATGGTGGCCCACGGCCCAGCAAGGGGCAGCTAGGGCTACAGTGTCCTCTACAGTTATGTGCACTTCTTCACCATGATGCCGATGACCCTGCTCCTCTTACACCATGTGGAAGGCAGCGTGGTAGCGTTCTGCTGGTGACCTGCTCCGTGGCTTCTTCCTCCCTCTGCCTCTGCATTTCTGTCCCTGGGTTCCAGGGATGGGACCCAGGGCCTCATGCACAATGGGCACACACCGCATGGTGGCCTGCACCCCAGCTGGTGATTCCTGCATGCCACCTCATTAGTTCTACTGAAAAGAACAGCGCTGCCTTGGAGCTCAGGCGTCAGCTACAATTCTGTGGCACACAGGGAAACCACCTTCTGTCCCTGGACCCTGGGTTCTGCTGACACAGATGTAGGGGACCCTGTCACAGTCGGATCTCCAGTGCTGGGTATGCTTTCTGTGAGCCTGACCTAGGGCAGGGAAGCAAGGCTGATCTGTCTGCTCACTGCTCCTCCAGGAGCAGATACGAGGTGTCACTTTCCCAGGGACTATGGGGGACTGTAGGCTGCTCAAGGAGGGCACTGGGGACCCACAGAGTGACCTGCCTACCCAATCTACAGAGTAGGATTCTAACTGGCTGATTTACAGAATATGCAAGAAAAATCCTTAACCTAGACAACCCATGGGTGTTCTGGAAACCCAGCGCCTGTATCTATGAAGACGGCACAGCACAGGCCTTGGCTGCTATGAAGACTTGTTCGCATGCCCTCCTGTGAAAGCTGCATGGTGCAAGGTCACCAGTCAAGGTCAGGAAGCTGACTCGCCCAGTCAGCATGCTGTGTGCCACGGCCGGCCCGGCTCTCACCCAGGCAGGGGCAGTTCCCGCTCTCCGGGTTCATGCTACTGTGGGTCCTTAATAAAATCCAAGGTGTGGCTGAGTGACGAGTCAGACTGCCTTTGACTCTCCTGTTCATGCCCACTTGTGCTTTTCTCTCTAAAGGAACCTAACGGAATGCAATTGAACAAAAGCTACACACCACCCAGGTATGAAAAGACAAACTAAGAAAACGGACAACTTGATTAACTCAAGAGCAACCTTGCCTAGCAGTGTGCTAAAGTGCTTTTCTAGGGGAGACTGGGGAAGACAGCTGTATGATTTCTGCTACTCCACAAATGGTCAGAGGATCTAAGCTCTCCTGGAACTGTCACCAAGGATGGTTTATTGCTCATTCCTTCATGAATGTGAAGTGATTTGACTGCAGACACAGAACCAACTTGGGCCGGGCACTGGGTGAATGATCTGAAGTTTGGAAAGTTTATGGAAAATGAAATGTAACCAGGCAAAAGCAACTGAGCCTTGGTAGCTAAGATCAGTGCCTTTCCTGTGGATCATGGCTTGTGCTTTGCAAGGTACTTTTGCATTCATTCCACTAGATATTAAAATATAACATCCTACGCCAGCATCCTCCCCACACCCCACTGCTCAGCAGCAAATGTCTGTGCCTCTTGTTCACATGTGAGGCCCCCGTGGCCCCACGGCTGTGACGAGGTGATAGGAGCCCAGGCTGGAGCTCACAAGAATTTCACCCATCCCTGAGCTGTCACCGACGACACCCGGCCTCAGTCGGTGGGCGAGCCCTGTGATGCACATCACACTTACGCAAGCTGTGGTTTGATTTGCCAGCTGTCTGACCTCCCACCTGGGAGCACACCTGTGCCAGCCCCTCCTGCCTCTGGACGCCCTGCTGGGGACAGCCTGGGTAGGGAAAGGCCTTGCTGTCCCCAAGGACTCACCAGGTACACTCACATCAAGCCCACGCCTCTCTGTCACAGCCACCACGGAGTGACCATCACTCAGTCAGCCTGCCCTGTGCATCTCCTCCATCCTGTGCCCCTGGTCTCATAGACAAAGGGAAGCCTAATGCACAACCCGGCATTCCCTGGCTGTGCCCTCCAGCCCACACACCAAGGGTCCGTGCTTAGGAAACAGCAGTTCCTGCTATCTCCTCCCAAACCATCTCGTTAGCCTCTCTTGTTTCCCTCCATACCACACCTAACACCAATGGCCTGAATGGCTCATATTCTGGAACCCCTGACTCGGCCCTCTTTTCGTCCCACCCTCCTCCATCCAAGGCACCGATGTCTGCACCTGGGTCACCTCTACCGGCTCCGGGTGGCGCCGACCTCAATTCCCACAGTGCCCTCTGCAACCTTGGCTGCTGACCCTGACTGACACAGTTGCAGCAGCATTCAAGGGCTGAGGGCCGCATGGCTCACAGCTGGGAACCCAGCTCCCAGGCCACGACCTGGCTGGATGCTCCTCCATCTCATGACCCTCGCTCGGGGCACGCACAGGCCCTGAGGCCACATGCACTGAGCCTTCGGAGTGCCACAATAAATTCAAGCAAAGGCTGTGCAGCGAGGAACCAAAGTAAGTCCACTGCTACTGACCACGAGGAAGAAACCACTCCTCTTAGTTTCTTCTGCTCAGCTCCAAGAACTTAAAAATGCTTTTGGGTGCCAGGGATCAAAGCCGGGCCCACCCATGCTAAGCAGGTGGTCCATCACTACCCCTGCCCCCTGAGGGCTAATGTGTTTGCTTCAAAAGAATTTTTTGCTACAGCCAGGGGTAGCTCAGAGGTAGAGCACTTGGCTGGCATGCGGGAGGCCCAGGGTTTGGTCCCCAACACCACAACATGAAATGAGTAATTTATGCGTACAGGAGAATCAACTCAGAAGCTTTGAGACTTGGCTTGTGATGCTGGCAGGCTTTCTCAAGGGCCCATCTCAGAAAGTACTGGATAAACAGCACCACATTTACTGTTAGAATACTTGGTTTAGCTCCACTTTTACGGTATTCACAAGAAATGCATTTCTTTCAACAAAATTCAGTCTTCTTCACGAGTATCAAGTGTCAACAGTCTATGCCAGAGATTTATCTGGACAGCATTCTTGGGTAAGACCATCAGGTGTGACCCTAAGAATCGAACACTTTAATAAGGTAAGTAGCGTGACTATTTCCAAGCACGGTGGGTAAACACCACTGAAAGGTGTGTGCTTAGCAGAATAAGAAGGCGGCGTTTTCCAGAGGAGTATGGTACACGTGATGGCAATCTCCTTATTCATACAAGCCTCGCTGGAAGGAAAGCATGCTGTCTTCTGACAGGAGTGCAGGCGCCTAACAGAGAGCAACCCGACAGAGCCATGCCAAACACACCCTGCTCCTCATCACAGGAGCCGCGGCTCATTCCTGAGATGCACCATGCTCTTTCTGGGCCTGCATTGCAAATGTGTGTGCTTCATCTCAGAAGCCACCTGAGAGGGGCTCGTGAGTCCCTCAAACACTGAATGTGAGAGCTGCCAACAGCTCCTGGATTTCAGACTGGATGGGGGATCCTATCCTCTGTGAGTGTCACGACAGAGTGAGGTGTGGACCTGGTGATAGACCTCAGTTTCTTGCCATCTGTTCTAGATAACCTCTCCCCAGTATCTGAGCTACTTGGTGACTGCTTTGGGCAAACCTTTGACAGCTCATGCATAGCATCCACAGTGAAAAAGGGTGAGGACAAATCCCCTGGACTGGTGGGTTTGGAGATTTCTCTGGTGCTTGAGATGCCACCTAAAGCCGGGAGGACCTGCCAAGCCCTGTTGGCCACGAGGAGGCCTCCCAGCATGGCTGCCTTGCCTACCACCTCTCCTCACCCCTCATGGCCACCAGGTAAGGACACAGAGGCCACCGGTCCTTCTGAGCAGGTGTCACGCTAACTCCTTTCTAGGGCTCTAGAGGTGTCACCTGCCACACTGGGAGGTTAAGTGGAAGCCAAAATCACATTAAGGTTAGAAATAGAAGCTTTGAAAATAAGTAATTTTATAGTCACCTCGATAGAGGAGCCACAGGACACCAGTACTCTGTGGAGAACAGGGGACTGGTGGGGCACCCGGCTCTCACACAGTGGTTTTGGCATCAGCCTCCCTGGGAAGAGGGGGTTCTGAAAATGACAGTGTCTCAAAGCACCATTCCAGGCAATATAAACTCCAGAACACTGGTAGGCTTACACATGAGCTTTGGTTGGAACCCTAATAGAAATTGCTTTCTGAGAAGTTCAACACACCATTTTCCTTCAAAGCCTTTATCAAGTTACCAAATGATAACACTTTTAAGAAATATAAATTCATCAAGAGAAAAGTAACACCGATACCAGCCTCTCACAGAAGCAGCGCTACCACGTAAGTATTATGGAGGGCAATGTGGACCGAACTGCACTCCAACACACACAGCAGAGGTGCCCCGGGCTATCGGGGTGGCTCACCCCCACTCCCCAGACATCGGGCACGCGTGGCTCAGTTCCTGAATTCCCTTTTCCCTGGTATTTCCACAGAGGCAGCCCATTGCTGCTATCTGGGATGAAGCTACATGCTCATGTAAACAACACGTAGGAGAAGACGCCCCTGACGCTGCTCAAGGGTCTGCTGCCTTCCTCGCTGTCGGTCAGCACAAGCACAAATGTCTTCCTCCAGAGGGACTGCTCAGAGAGCTATCTTTTGAAGAAGTTGCAGAGTTTGTCTTAATGTTATCTCAAGTAGCTCTGTCTTTCACCACTTAAAATAGTTTGGCAAGGATTTGCTTACCTGGGAGTATTCAAAATCAGTGATGGGAGCGATGCTCTTGATGTAATCTGACCGGAACTGGTTTTCGGGGTTGGCCAGTGGGACTGGAGGGATGATGGTGCTCATGGCTGAGACAATCGTCTAAAGTGGCGGGGGACAGAGAAACACAGCAGTAGGGTCCATGCATGACCAACCTACGTACATAATTTCTGCCTACGTGCTTTCAGAGCCTAGAGCGTGTAACTTTTCAGCTTGGCAAGCATTTAAGGAAAAGTCCTTACCACAATAGCATCTTTGACATTTTTTCGGATGTCCAGAATTTTCTGTTTCTTTTCCCTGTGTGGAAACAGAATTGCTATTAATTTAATTCACCCTCAGCACTGACTAGAATCATTTGAGTGGGATTTCAAATTTCCAGTGAGGCTGTGGGCAGATGGGTTTCATTAGTGAATGTCTGCAAAGCTTTTACCTGGGAAACGAAAACATTCCTTATCTGGCAGACAAACTCAAGCGCACCCATCAGCTTAAAGAATCATGTAGCTCACACAAAAACATGGTGAAGGTATTGTAGATATGGCACACGAATACACCTAGGCCCATGTTTAATCTACCCAGGTCCTCACAGTCATTGATTGAAACAGATGCGGGCAGGCAACACTCAGTGAAGAGGTCACAGATATTCAACAGGCCTCAACCAACTAGGGATTAAAATATCTGGAAAACGGAATCTGATGTTTTCTGGCCATCACTTCCTTGACACTGCAGCACCACAATCTGTTATGTGGTGTTGATAAACCCTCCAGAGGTGATCTGGGGAGTGTGAAAGTGTTTGTGCAGGCTGCAGGTGAATGCTGCGCTTTACATAAGGGGCTCTGGGCTGCCTGGGTTTTGGTCCCCACTGGGGAACCCAGACACACAAAGGAGACAAAGGAATTGGGTGGGCGCGCCGGGGGCAACTCCATCCACACCTAAGAAACCAATAGACTGCATTTGCTTAAGCAAATCACTTTTTAACTGAATAGTGCTAGAATTCACTAAATAGGCCAAATTTGACAGCAAATGTCTGTTTTCCCCCTAAAATGTACTCCGGTCAGGGAACTTGGAGCCAGCGCTTGGGGAGGTGGCAAAGTGCGCAGTGTGGACACCGAGCCCCGCAGCCCATCCGGACGAACTCCTTACTCGGGGTTGAAGCCGTTGACATGGAGGATCCGCATCTGCTTGACGATCGTGCTTTTTCCAGACTCTCCAGCCCCTAGGAACAAACAGACAGACGGCGGTCACCGTAAGCCGCTCACGTTGCCGTCCCCACCGCTGCCGAGCGGCCAGACCGGACTGGACCCTTCCGCCTCAGGGAGCCGGGCCGGGGCTCTGGGTGCGGGTCGGGGGTCGGCGCCCCCTTACCCAGCAGCAGCAGACGGTGTGTGGCCTTGTACGCCAGGCGCTCCTTCTGCAGCTGCTTCTCGATCTTCTTGTTGGCCTCGCGCCGCTCCTTCTCGTCCACGCCCGTGTCCTCGGCCGTCTTGCTGTTGCCCAGGCAGCCCATGCTGCGCGCTCGCTCGGGGCGGCAGGCGCGGTCCGGGGCGCAGGAGAGCCGGGGCTGGGGGTGCCTGGGTCGCGCGACGGCGTCGCCTACCCGCGCTGGAAGAGACGTGCGGCTCGGCGTCCCCTGCCGCCCGCTCCCGGAGGGGCTCGCGGCGCACGGGCTGCAGCGCTCCCCA